ATGGGGTATATAGGTGACCTACTTGGGACGTCAGTAGGGTAATTTGTGAAATCCTCTGAATTATGCACAGCCGTTAAAATGTTATATGCATTTCAATTATTCGGATTATACTTAATTTTGCATTTTTTAAAGTGAAACTGTTAATGCATTTATGTTAATAGATCTCCTTTTTGAAAATATTGATATCTTTGAACCATGATTATTTTTAGGATTATGATGATCACTTACTGAGTAGCCAAACTCATTAAATTATGGTAAACATTTTTTTTCAGGATAACTATGATTTCATTTTGAGTGCTCGTCAGGATCAACTCTGGAAGATATTGTAGTTCTGCTTAAACTTTCTTTTGTTACTTTGTAAGAATTCGTCATTGTAAATTTGTCCTATCAAGAGATGTATATATGTTTTGACTGTCACATCTCAAGAATATCAGTATTGTAAATTCTTGGAGTGTGACAATTTATTTTAACCTAATTTGAAATATACACTCAATTCGCTATAACGAACAATGTAAAAAACAAAAAACAAAACAAAATTTGAAAATGCACCATAAAAATTGGTTTTTTGACCCAGTGAACAAAGGTTGTTCAAGGGATGATCAGATCTAGGCTTTTAATGATTTATTTTTCTTTTTTTTTATCCCAGTTTTTCTAGATTGGCATATAGACATTAGATAAGCAATTGTAGAAAGTAAAAACTTGATTTTGAGTTCTAAAGGCCTAGATCTCAGTATCCATCAAATGGATAGTCTCGATTCATTGTTGGAGAGTAGCTCATTTTAGCCTGTTCTAAGATGTGAATTCAACTTTTTTCTTTTTTACATTGATTGTTGGGATGAAGAGAGTGTAAGCATGAATGATACAAGTGCCAAAAATATTATTTTCAAAAGAGTGGTTTAATTATATCATAATAAAACACTGACATATGTGGTTTAAATAATGCGCCTACCTCAAACAATTAAAGGAAGGCACACCACTAAACTTTATTGCAATTTTGGTGCTGAAAACTATTACAATAGCCTAAAAATATGTTTCCACACCTAATTATGAAATTTAAAGCTCCGAAAATATGCAGATCGAACATATCTATAAACATTTTAAAATCTTGAAAATAGATGGCCTAATGGATGATTTGGAGACTTGAAACATTTTATTTTTCATATCTATGCATCTTGAGGTTGAGACGATCAACTAGATGGCTTTTCAGCATAAAAACAACCTTTTTTGAAGGGTTATACACACATACACAGACATAGTTACCTACACACAAGTTCAAGTCCTTGAAAATAAATTATAAAGCGTCAGATGTATATTGTTTGAAGCCAAAAGATTTCATGCTCCATCAGGAGCATATTGTCCATTTACTTCCTCAGGTAAAACCCAATTTGGGAGTAATTTTAGGATGACAAAATTCAAGGATGTAAAATCTTAAACCATAGAATAGCCTCAAAAAAGAAAATTTTCCAAATTGCACTTTCCATGCGCTTAGAACAAATGACGTCTCAAGATTAACCAAGACTGTCTAATTCTTAAGGGTGAGATCTAACTATTAGAAAAACCTAAAATTCAATGCATCGCTTTTAAAAATAATCATTTAGTAATTCTCTTAGGTTTTGGAGTAGATGGACAGCATGCTCTTGTGGAAGCATAGTACACGTGCTCTTAGTATAAAACATGAAGTGGGACATGTGATCAATATGCAATTTAGATGACAGAGAAAGAGAGAATTGAGCCTGAGGGCCGGGCCAAACCATGGCTGGCCAGGGCCATGACAAGTCCAGTGGCCCTGGCCACTTCCCTTTAACCTATTTTTTCCTTTGGGTCTATTAGGCCAGACTGGCATGGGATAGGCTAGGCTAGGCGCAGGCTTGGGCCAGGGCCCGCTCCTGGCCAGGGCCTCTTCGGTCCAATCCAAGCCATGACAAACTCGAGCGAGCTTTATAGGGATCAGGGCCAAGGGGCGGGTCCAGCCCAATGCCAGGCCTATTTTTCGAAGATTTATTTCGCACACGCGCACAAACAAGCAGAAATCTCTTTCCTGGTGCATACTCTAGAGTTAGTTTTCATGCTCAAGGAATTGGACTTCGACTTGAGCTTAGGTGGTTAGCAGCTGACTACTCTCTCTTTCTCTCATTGCTCTCTCTCTCTCGAGCACAAATCGATCTTTTCCAAAGGATAATACGCACTCGAGATATCATGCTCATCTTGTGCAATGGGATCTCTCTCTCTGATCTTGTGCTTTGGGATCTCTATTTTTCTCTCTCACATGCACGAGCACACACACAAATACATGTGTTCTAAAGGATCAGTTCCTCTAAAGATTTGCATCTTACTGAGAGTCCCATATTCCATTTTCATGGTGAAATGTCTGTTGCACTCTCGTTCTTCCCAATATCCTTGGGACTTTGTTCCTTCCAATATGCTTGGGACTTTAGATAACCGATCCAACCCCATCAAATAAAGAAAATTGTTTCATGCAGCGGGGACGGCATTTCTACATTTGCGGTCCCTGAGGTATAAAGCATACATCTTAAAGATGAATGTAAGTAGGCAGTCTATCTAAAAATAATTGAAACTAACTATCCAAATGTTTTTTTTAATAGAATTATTATTTTTAATTTTTAAAATTTATTTACTTTTTCATATTTATTATCTCCATGTTAGAGATTACATGTTCTTACAAATTAGATAAAAAGATCTATCTCAAAAATAAATTTTTAAGAAGTGACTCATTTCTACATGGACTCATAGAATTCGTGTCCTTCAAATAAGCCAACCCTTTCAAAGACCTCTCTCTCTCTCTCTCTCAACTTTAACCATGAAACTTCATTCAAAATAAAAGAATACATAAGGTGATACTAAAATGATCTCTCCATGTGAACTATGGGCTTGAACTTCTACTTCATTGGTGTTTCAAAGGTCGCCTGTCCAACTAGGGAATCACCCAAGTCCGACCAGATTGTGAGGTGGCAATTCGGCGCTGAAAAAACGAGAATCGTCCGAGGCTCCCTGTTTCTGGTATTTTTTTTTAGATTTTTCTGTGAGGTAAATTAAGGCCTGAAGAAAAGATAATTATCCAAGGCTCCCTGTTTCCTAGTTTTTGTTTTTAGATTTTTCTGTTAAATATGGTCCGATCCCTACCGAGTTGGAGATCTATTCCAATTTAAGAAAAATGGTTGTCTACTTTTAATTGTCGTGGTTCAGAGATAGCATCACATGTACTTCCTTGTTAGAACATCCATGCTGCATTCTCTCTCTCTCACAGATACATACACAGAGAGAGATTCCCTTGGCCACTGTAATTGAGCTCCAACATTCCAGACTTACATTGCCTTAGGGCAAAAACTTGGTGGTCATGAAATCGGTAGAAAACACAGCAAATTAGATGTCCTCAACAAAGATTTTGGCAGGATATTTGATTGCATTCTTAACAACATTTGCCTTAGGACGAAAACTTGGTGGTCATGAAATCAGTAGAAAACACAGCAAATTAGATGTCCTCAACAAAGACTTTGGCAGGATATTTGATTGCATTCTTAACAAGCTTCTTAGTGGCAGCATCCGCAAGATTAACCTCACATATATCAGCAAGTCTTATGAGATACAATAAAACATCTGATAATTCTTCTCCAAGGTGTTCTTTATCTGATATCTCCCAATTTGGCAAGCCCCTTGCCACCTCTCCCCTCCATTGAAATATCTCAGCTAGCTCCCCAACCTCACCAACCTAAGATAAGGAAATAAAAAATAACTTTATCAACTTAAATTTTGAAAAGTATCATATTCGAGTCTGAATTTAAAAAAAAATAATAAATCAATACATGTGAAAAATGAGAAAAAGAGATTATTTTTTTCTAGTGAACATAGGTCCATTTGGTAAATATTTGATCTAGGCCTTAATTTTTTAGATTTCTTATTTTTAAGATAAAGACCTTAAAACTTCTTTTAACCTTTCTTCTCAAATTCTTACAAAAGGAGTACTTCATCTCATTTAAAATCCCTTAAGCCCCCTGCTTTAAGCCGTGCACGATGCAGTACCAAGATGGACAATTTTAGAGCAGGCATTTCTAACATTCATATTAGACATTGACACGTATCCGTTCTTTATAAAAAAACGAGAAAAAACAAGTACCAAAATAGCCATTATTCCTTGTAGCAATCTCTTGTTAAACCAGTGGCAATTCAGATATTTTTCAACATAAGAAATAACTAGGCAGCCTCGGTCTTTTTTACGCACCTTAACAAAATCCCTAAGGGCACGTTTGGTTTGCATGAAAATGTTTTCAAGCGTATAAAATTTCTCTCATGCGAGCAAGTGTAAGAATATTTTCATATCAATGAGTGTTAGTACATCTTTTCACACCAATTGACAACTAATTGATATAAAAATATTCCTATACTCGATCACATGAGATATTGTTTTCATGTGAAAATGTTTTCACACAAACCGAACTGAACCAAACGTGCCGCAAATGAATCCGTAATTTAATTATAAAAAGATCACTAATATATATATATATATATATGGGAGTGGATTCCATCAGCCCACGGGCTGACTGTTACAATATCAGCCAATGACCTATATTCAATCTGGGCTGATCTGATGGTTACAATTTCATTTCGTATTTGAATTTTCATTTTTTTCTACAAATCCAAATCACATGAAATTTTAGACGCTCATTATTCGCATCAAGGCGTACCTAATAAAAAACATAATAAAAATATAAAAAAAATAATTCGTAAAATATAAATTTATTAAAATTCTCTCAAAATGTTTCAGGGGTATTTTGATCAATTTATATTTTTTGTAATATATATATATATATATATATATTCATGTGGTTTGATAAGCTGTCGGTGTGATTAGAGAGCACGAAGTGCTACTAAGGTACGGGGGGGTGCTACCACCACAACCCAGCACCTTTTCCGTGGTAGACTTTGGATTTGGGTATGTACTTGTTTGGTTAGCAATTGACATTAACAATGCTACATCTGTTAATTCTTACTACTAAACTACCCAAAAAAAAGGCTTGAGAAGAAGAAAATATACCAGTGCAAGGAGGAGGTTTCTAGGGCTATGGTATTGATCCCAATCTCTAACCCTTGCAAACTCTGCAAGCCTCATTTGAAGCTCTCGGAGGCTGATATCTGCCTCCTCTTTGTCTTCCTTCATGGCCTGTTAGAAATGGGTATAAATGTGTGGGTGGGTTGTGAGGCTTTAAAGGCATTTTATTCCCATTTCCTCAATTTATTTTTCAATTATTTAGAGGAATATATAATCTAAAGGAGGGGAAAAAGGAACTAAAAGTTGGTGGTGGTGGAGTTGAAAATGCCCCATGTTTTATGCGTGAGATTCCATTTTACATCATGCAATGTGGCCAGAACCCATGGACTAAAATGAGAGAGAGAGATGATAAATATTGACTACAATAAGTTACTTGTGTAGTAGTTAAACATGAGTATAAAGAGAAGGAAAAGTATATATAGAAGGTGACATCCTAAATTAAGGTGCAACTCAAAAATCCTTTAGAATAGAGTGTTATGATATTAGAAAACCCTCCTAATTTGACAATCTCAATCTCTAGATGTATGGATATAAAGGATTAAAGACTTTCTAAGTCTTAAAAATTATACCTTGTAACAAATTATTTGGACGGTCTATTTTAAGATTTTCTAGTGTTTAAAGATCTGCTTGATCCATCTGTTTTTTTTTTAAAAAATATAACGGGGATAATAAGAGATTTTCAAGCTATCATAAAGTTTCCAATACCTAAACTACATCTCAAACAAAATTTAGAGATGTGCTTACTTCTACAATATGAGGAGGGCACTTTTTACAAACCTCACCCTAAAGAGAATAGTGGCCCATATAATTTGGCCCATGATAGTTAGATAAAACACCATGTTCTCCACATGCATTCTTCAAATATTGAACTTATAATTTGCATCTTCTTAACACATAGCCATTCGATAGAGGATACAATATGAGGTCCATATTATCTGGCCCATGATAGTGAGCTAAAACACCATGTTTTCAACATGCATTCTTCAAATACTGCACTTATAATTTGAACCTTCTTAAAATATATCCATTCAATAGTGGATTGCAATATGAGGTGGGCATATCTTTTACTTCTTTATTAACTTTGGATTGTAAATTTTTTTCTAAAAGTGCTTCATGTCAGATCATATAAGAGAATATGGAAAGAACAGTACGATGTTTTGAAACTAAGCACTCTTAAGTGATACACCTCTAAATATTGTTGGAAGATAAAATTTTAATGTCGAAAGTCTCCATGAAAATCTATTTTCCCCTATAATCATGAAATTTAAAGCTCAAAAAATGATTCAGATTGAGCAGATATAAAAATTTGAAAATCTTGAAATTGACGGTTCAGATAATGTGTTACAAGACGCATTATCATTAGGACTTGAAATCCTCTTTTTTATCCTTTCAGATTCATATATATCAAAGTTGAAGTGATCAATTGACGGGTTTTTCAACATTGGGAAAACCTTTTTCAGTGAGTTTCTAAGGTGTGTTATGAGGTTGATGCCCAGTATAAACTTTTCTTTTGAAAATACAGATAAATAGAAGAAAAAATGTGCCTTATGAACTCCTGGAATGCGGAGACCTAATGAAAATTAGAAAAAATGTTAAGCGAATTTTGGCTTTTTTCCTTTGAGATATATTATTAGTGAAACTGTCCATTTGCTTCCTCGAGTAAAACCCAATTTATGAGTATTTTTATGGCCTCAAATTTTTGGGATGTAACCTCTTGAACCCATTGATTAACCTCCCATTTTTTAAATCAAATCACACGCTCTATGTATTTTAAAAAAATAACATCCCAATGCTGAACATGGGCCATCCAATTTTTGGAGGGCAAGATCTAGGTCTTGAAGAACATATAATCCCTTTTCTTTCTTTTTTTAATAATAATCTAGTGATTCTTAGGTGGAACCTCAAATTTCATATGAGAAGGTTATAACCTCCTATCCTCGTAGGATTTATTCTCTCCTTTGCCATATTCTTTTGAAGTCACTTTTTCATAAAGCTTCAAGACATAAATGCTTGAATTTACTAATGAGAATAAATTATACAATTATACTAAAAGCATATATACCTTCCTATTACGTTTTCTATATTCGATTCGTGTTCCCTTTGATACTCATTTTCCTTTGTATAATTCATGTTGATAATATGTGGTATATATACAACAAATAATATATACATTCGTTTTCTATTTGCCATCTTGATATGTTATTCTAAACTTGCCTTTGTTATCTTGATATGTTATTCTAAATTTGGCTTTGTTTGTTTAATGTTTGCGAATCCCCATCCGAAACTATCTTTTGGCGACCCTTTGCCTAACCTTGTTTTGACCTTTGAGAGGGAGAGGGAGTGTGTGTGTGTGAGAGAGAGTCTTCTTTTTTTTCTTCTTAGAAATAAGATTTGTGAAAGTTTAGAGAAAAAGAGTCTTTTTTTTTTTTTCCCTTAGAAATAAAAGTTTTGAAAGTTTAGGCTGATAACCCTTTATGTATGGGGAAGTTTTTATAGGAATTTATATGTGTCACCCTCTCCCAACCACCCGATCTAAATAGATGGTTGAGATGACCTCAATCACAATTCATGCCTACCTCCTACTATATTTTTAATTTTTTCTATAATTATATTGGCATCAAATTTGGGGTGTCCAATTCTCTCATATGCGCACACATACCAAAAATATTTTAAAAAATATATTTTCAAAAAATAAATAATAAATATACTGCTAAAAGTTGGTCATTTTATTTCATGAAAATGTTTTTTAAATAATTTTTAGGGCGCCCTATTGAGATGATCACACGTACCAAATTTCATATTCATCTAATTTGTAAAATAATTAAAATAAAATACCCAGAGCCATCAGATCTTGATCAATTGGTCAAGGCTCTCTTGTGACAGTATGGATGAATGTATCCAAGCCATTCATTCAGATTCAAGGCGGGAAGAGAGTGGCATATATAAATTCCCAATTTTTCTTTATGTATTTTCATTTTGTATGAGGTCACAATCACCTTGCTGGTGGTCAGAACTGAAATCACGTGTTACCATAGTTCCCATTTGATGGCCACGTGTAGTTATAAGCTTTTTATGCCAAAAATAATTGGTGTTATTTTATACAATTCTAAAAAAGTTTCATATTTTCATTGTTTTAGAGAATAAGACTATGTATAAGAGTGTTGTATTTTGAAAAATAGGAGTACAAAAAATAAAATCAAAATATGAATTTAGATTATTTTTCTATTTATAAGATGATGTCAAAAATTGAGGTAGTTTTGAATGGGAATGTTTGGAAATAAAAGCTGACACACACATGTCCTTTAATTGTTAAGGCCTTAGATACTCTTTTTAATTAACTATTAATGCAATTAGGGTGTGGCTTATTTAGAGGCTAAGGCGCACATTCAAATAGTGTCAAGAAATTGGTTTCAATATTGGAAATCTTTGTGATAGCCTTCAAATATATTTTCATTTTTACTTATAAAATGTAAACCTGCAAACATAGTATAGATCGAATAGATCTATGAAAACTTAAAAATCTTGAAAATTGACCGTCCAAAAATACGCTATAAGATGTACTATTTCTAAAACTTGAAATCTATTTTTTTCTCATGTCCATGCATCTTGATGTCGAGATGATCAATTTGAAGATATTTGGGCACCAAAACAACCTCTTTTAATGAAACTTTTAAGGTGGGCTCTAATTTGATTGTTTAGAACCTCGGCTCTATACTAACTTTTTATATACAATTATCCTATAATGGATTGCGCTTCATAACTAAATTTGGTAAAAATTTGATGAAGTTAGTTGAATATGGGCCGCATTGTGCTGAATTTAGTGTATTTCATGAAAAATTTGGTTGCTAGAAGTGCACTGGGTTTCTATATTATGAAATCATTTGTGTTTTCTACATTACCTAAAACTCTACTATATGTAACAATATCGAATCGAATGTGAACTACAAATATATTAGGGATTGTCTAAAAAGAGACCATCAATATTTTGTATATGGGATCACAATCATTTTTTTCCTTTAAATTTCAAAATGGGTGGTTGTAAGAGTGGCATTTAATAGACAAAAAGGTCCAAAAAAGATATTTTTTTCCAAACTATTCAATTTGACATCTAATGAATAAGACTGATTGTAACCTCTATATACAAAAAAGTATATCACTTATCAGAATTTTGACTTGTTCTCCTGACTAAGAGTGACAATAGGCAAGGCAAAAGTTATGATAGGGCTGACCCTACCCAAAGGGTCACTGCTCAAGCTTAGCCCACTACTAGGTGGCCTAGTCCTATCAATAGGTTTGGACCGCGGCAGGCAAGTATATATTGTCTTGTTTTTTACATTCACAAAAAGACTATTGAAAAAAAAAAAGACTATGGGGATAATTCAGGTCATGACGACATTGTGTATTCCAGGGCCCGGGCCCTTGAGCAAAATTTTAGTGGCTTAGGCCTAGGCTATTCTAGGATGGGCCTAGCCGACTGGGCCGCTTGACTCATTTCTACCCTTGCTCCTGAGCTCTCTCTTTCTCTCCAGTTTTTTTAGGGAAATATTGATTGTTTTTTGTCAAACTAGAATTTTGATTAACTGAGGTGAATATGGGCTGGATGATGCCCATCTCAATACATTTCACTGGAATTCCAGCCCTGTTTTCAGTCAAAATCTAAGATATGGTTCAAAGCATCTAGCTGAAATTAAGAAAATAAAGTCATTTGTTACTTTAATTTAGAATAATTCTCCTCTCTCTTTCTCTGTAGCCGATTCGGGATCCATCATCGTCAAGAGATAAAAGATGTATAGGTCTAGTAATGAGCCGGTTGGTCCAGCCTGGTGCAGCAAGCTCGGCCATAGTGAATGATTTAAACCTAGTGGTTTAAAACCTAGAGATTAACTTAGATTGGGTTCAGTGAGTGGGTTATCCGGGTCCATGACTCTTGGAATCACCCAAATTTTAGTTTTTCTGTTTGATTATTATTGTTATTATTTATTTTACATTTGTTAATTCACTTGATCTGCTAATACAACTGGTGGCCATTTCAACTTACAATGGAAGTTTTTTAACATTACTTAAACTGATACGTTTTTTCACAAGCCTTGCAATCATCCACACCTTAACTATGGCGTTGAAAAAGAAATAGGAATCA